AAAGAAAGAAAGAAAGAAAGAAAGAAAGAAAGAAAGAAAGAAAGAAAGAAAGAAAGAAAGAAAGAAAGAACAATAGACAAATAAATCTCATAAATATAGACAAAAAATTCTTAATAAAATATTAGCAAACAATTCACAAATATATAAGATTTATGCATCATGACCAAGTGGGATTAATTCCAGAGATGCAAGACTGGTTCAGTATTTTAAAATCCATCAATCAACCATATTAACAAGTTAAAGCAGGAAATGTATATTGTCATATTAATCAATGAAGAAAAAGCATTTGACAAAATTCAACATCCATTCATGATAAAAACTCCCGGGGAGAGGGAGGGACAGAAATAGAGAGGAAACCCCTCAACTTGATGAACACCTACAAAAAACCTGCAGCTGACGTTATATTTAAAGATGCTTTCCCCTGCGATTGAGAATAAGACAATGCTGTCTGCGTGTACTGCTCTAATTCAATATACTGCTGGAAGTCTTTGCCAGGGCAACAAGGCAAGAAAAGGAAATTAAAAGCATATAGATCAGCAAAAAGAAGTATAACTAACCCTATTTGCAGATGACATGATTGTCTATGAAGAAAACCCCAAGGAATCTACAATAGAATGCTAGAACTAATAAGTAAGTTTGGCAGGGTCAGAGAATATGAGAAAAACATACAAAAATCAGTCATTTTTATTCCCATATACTGGCAATAAACAAGTAGACACCAAAATTAAAAATATAAAGCCATATTACAATTGTTCAGAAAACCGAAAGACATACAAATCTAGCAAAACATGTATAGGATTTATACACCTAAAATTATAAAACACTGATGAAATCTGTAAGATCTAAATGGAAAGACGTGCTATGTTTTTATGTATTGAAAGACTCAACATAGTAAATATGTCTATTCTTCCCAAATTGATATACATGTAAAACATACTTATCAAAACCCAGCAAGATTTTGGTAAATATTCTCGAAATTATCCTAGAATTTATATGAAAAGACCAAGGACAGTCAGAACAATTTTGAGAAAAAAAAATAAATTGCAAAAAATCAGTATACCTGATTTCAAGAGCTATAACTACAATAAATCAATAATCAAGACTGTTATCGGTTAAAAAACAGACATAGACCCTCACAAATGTGTCCGATTTCTTTTTGACAAAGGTACAAAAAGCAATAGAAATGGTGCTGGAGCAGCTGGATTTTAAACTAACTAACAAATGCCTCAACTTAAGTCTAAGGCTTTATACAAAAATTAACCCAAAATGGATCACAGACTTAAATGTAAATTATAAAACTATAAATTTCTTTTTGAAAAAGTCATCAGGATCTAGGACTAAGAGTTCTTGGACTTGAAACCATAAACAATTTAAACATTTTATGTAGGTACTCCTCCCTCTAGGAGGTGGAGCTTGAGGGTGGTCTGCCCTTGGTAACTAGCTTCTGAAGAGGAAGGTGAGGAGGAGGGGGGACAAAGGGAAGCGTGACAGTGGAGAAACCTGCCCAGTCCCCTCGCCCGCTGACCAGGGTGAGCAGCATCGGGCATGCTGACTGCATGCGCCCTCGACATGATGGGATGGGAATGGCACTTCCCCTGAGTGGTAATCCTCCCAAGCTCCATTACCCCGGTCTGACCATGAGAACATCAAAACAAACCCAAATGCAAGGACAGTCTACAAATACCTGGCCAGCATGCCTCAAAACTCTACTGTCAGCAGCAAGAGGAGCCTGAGACACTGTTCCGGACCAGAAAAGGCCGAGAAGACCAGACAAATAAAGGCAGCACAGTGCCCTGGGTGAGCTCCTCGCACAGAGACCAGCTGCTGAGACTGAGTAACCCGGGGTTTAGCTAAAAGCGATGTGTCAGTGCTGGTCCTCGGTTGTGACAAAGGTACTAAGGTGTTAGCGCCGGNCAGTGCTGGTCCTCAGTTGTGACAAAGGTACTAAGGTGTTAGCGCCGGGGGCAATGGAGTGAGGAACACAGTTTCTCAGGCATTTCTTGATTTCTTTCTTAGAATTCTCTACACTCTTCTTGCAACTTTTCTATCTAAACCTATTCTAAAATTGAAAGTGTCCAACAAAATGTGTAAAAAAAGGTGATTTCACCCAATGCTGGTGAAGATGCAGAGAAACAGGATCCCTCCTACATTGCTGGGGGGAATGTAAAATGGTACAGCGGCTTTGGAAGACAGTTTGGCAGGTTATTTTTTAAATTAAACATGTAACTACTAAATGACCCAGCAATTGCACTCCTCGGCTTTTTCCCTGGAAAAATGAGAAATTACATTCACACAAAAACCTGTGTGGGAATGTTTAGAGTGGCTTAATCTGTAATAGTTCTCAAGTGTAAGCAACCCACATATCCTCTGTTATGTGAATGGTGAAATACCATGAAACATCCCATCCCATGGAACATCACTCAGCAACAAAAAGGAGCGAGCTATTGATACTTATAACACCTGCATGACTCTCCATAGAATATTGCTTTGTGAAAAAAGCTGCAAAGGGTTATATAGTGTACTATTCTATTCTATAACATTATATATTTAAATATAGTTTTTAAAATACATTTTTATTGATGTCAGAGAGAGAAAGAGAGAAACATAGATGTGAGAGCAGAACATCAATCGGCCGCCTCCTGCATGTGCCCGGCCTGGGACTCGAACCACCTACTTCCTGGTGCATAGGACGACTCTCAGCCAACCGAGCCACACTGCCGGGCTCTATAACATTCTTACAATGACAAAATTATAGAAATGGAGAAGATACTGTGGTTAAGGAGGAACAGGAGGGAAAGGAAGTAGGTGCGGTTACTTAAGGGCAACAGGAAGGGTCCTCACGGCGATGGATATGTTCTGTATCTTGACTGTCAGTGTCCATGTCCTGGCTATGATATTGTACTATATAGAATTGCAGGTTGTTACCCCTGGGTAAAGGGGACACAGGATATCTGTGCATTATTTCTTACAACTGCATGCAAATCTATTTTCTCAAAAAGTTCAATTAAAAGTTTTTATTGAAAATTATCTTTTAATGAAACACATAAGGTTTTTATTTTTACTTTACGTACCCATGCATGATATTACTTGTTATTAGAATTACGTAGGGAGCAGTATCCGTTCTAATCCTGCTTTTCATTTTTATAGAAGTAATGCTGGGAAACTTTGTTCACATAAATAAGTTGAGAAGGAGTTTTATTATAGCAATATGATTTAACTCTCTGAACTCTTTCCAAGATCTATGCCAAAAATAACATACTGCTCTATCACCAAGAATTATTTTTAATAATCTATCAGCTGACAACTCGATTAGGTCCTCCTCTGATATCATTGAAAGCAGAGAATTGGAACGCATCTGACTTACAAATATCTAGTATCCAGTCATTAACTTTCTCTATTTCTGAGAAGTCACCTAAAATGCTTTACCAAGACTTATCAAATGATTGTTAATTACCCTTGCTATTCTTTTTCTTAGAATTGTCTTTTAATTTAATATACTTAGAAAGAATTAGATAAAATGAAATATCATTTATTTCAATACACATTCACCAAAACTTGGTTATAAATTATTTTATATTATCATATGCTTTGTTTTTATTGGCATCAAACTTTATAAAGCTACAGATTAAATATATTTAATTTATGAATAACATCTATAATTTAACCTATTCATTGAAGGCCGTCATAATTGTAAAATGAATCATCCAGAGTAGATATATTCTCTGTCCTGAAAACAAAAACCTACCTAGTCTTTATTTTTCAACCCAAATCAAAACAAAAAGGATAGAAGGGAAGGGAAGGGAGGGAAGAAGCAAGGTAAAAAGACAGCTGGTTTGTCATCTCTGCAATTTCAGTTCAATTTCAGGACTGGTGGTAGTCAAATGGGTTAATTTATACTAAAGTGTCAATGGCTTACAACAGCTTTACCCTCCAAGCATCCTTTTCAGCTCTAAGGCTTTGTCAAATGTTGTGAACATTAAAGACTCAAAGTAAGATAAAAATAATAGTAAAGGAAGATTAGAGAAAAGGAATGGAGGAGAAAACTCGTTCTCCTCACTCAAGCAATCCAATCAGGAAACTCCATGCAGTAGCAATAACTTATTGAGAACACCAATAGGGCCAATAGATACCATCTGCCAGTAGATGGCGGGCTTTATAGTTACTACTCATGGAACAGCCTCCTTTCTACCAGATATTATTTGTAGGGTTGGTTACCTTAATACACAGGCAGAATAGGAAGCTACCTGGACAGTGTGAATTGAAGAGCCCTAGGTGAGACCTCCACCTGCTCAAAATTAACTCCCTCATAGATCCTTCCATTTATGTCTAAAATTCAAATTCAGTCCTTTGTGTGTGGGTGGTGGTGGTGGTGGTGGTGGTGGTGTGGAGAGCAAGCAGCAAGGGGAATTAAGGTTAGCCATTAACACTTTAGCAAGAACTAATTTGGTATATTAACTCGGGAGAGAAAGGAACTTGAAAAAAATGTAACCAAAGACTGCTAGGTTCTAAAAACAGGATCTGCACATCTTTGGTGGTTGCTTAGGTAGGACATTCTATGTGTAAGCTGGAGTACCATGTAGGCACTGGGCACCTGAGTTATAGCCTTTATTTTAAAAAGGGGGGTAAAAAGAAAGAAGTGGTATATGAGAACAGATCAATTTTGCCTGAGGTCAGACCTGTCCTGCTCACATTGTTTCCTTCTGCTCTCATCTCAGGTTGGAGGACTTTCCCGAAGGTTTGCTGAATAGCCCAGAAAGCTCCTTACTCCTTTGGCCGGGGCCAGAGACTGGATAATTCCTTGGGAATAATCCCATGATCCCTGTTCTGTTTGGATTACTACCTTCATCTCTATGATGGCTTAAGAAGTGAGGGGACATAGACAAAAGAATTATTCAGAGAGGGGCCTAGATGGTGAGAAGCTTGAAACTGGGACAGTGTCTGTCAAACTGGAGATGAGAAGACTCATGTTCAACAGGAGACTGTCTTCAGACTCTAATGGCTGTCACGTGGACTGCGTCAGACATTCTGTGCAAGCCCAAAAGTAGAACCAGACTTACAGAGAAGTCGATCATAATGCGACGTAAGGAAAACCTCACCTTCTGTGATCGTGATTATGGTAATAACAGTTCACACTTATTGAACCGTCACTTGTCAGGCAGAGGGTTTCATGTGCCTGGTCTCATTTAGTAATTATGGCATTGCGTGAAGAGGGCATTATTCTCGTGGTTTACAGATGAAGAGACGGAGGGCTAGAATAACATGCTCGGGGAGAGCCCGAGCATCTCACAGGGGTGGAGCTGCCACCTTAGACTGAAAGGGCTGCTCAGAGGGTCACCAAGTCCCCCTGCACAGAAGCATTGAAGCGAAGGTAGGGACATGGGGCAGGAATGCTGTAACTAAGGAAGACTGGTAGGAGTTAATGATCTGAACTGTCCTCCCAGTCCCTGGGGCATGTGGTTACTTGCAGTCATTTCACAGATTTGCATGGAGTGCCCGGCAGTGTTCTAGGGACCAAGAGAGGTCATGTTACCAACAGGAAGAGGGGGGAAAGAATTACTGAATTGTGATAGGTACTATCTTAAAGAAGTGAAAAAGTGCTACAAAAATATATAAGGGGGCCCCTATGATGTAATTTGAGGAACCAAGGGAAGTGACACTTAAACTGAGACCTGAAAGCAGAGTAAGAGGTACTCAAGCAAAGCAGTAGGGGAAGGAGAGGAGAGTCCCAGGCCAGGGAACAGCAGTGTACGAACCCCCGAGGCAGCCACGGTGGCTGCAGTCAGTGGGGAACGGGCTGGTCCGAAGTGATGCTGGCCAGGTAAGCGGGGGGGCCATATCACGCAGGCAGTTACAGGCCATGTGGCAACTTTATCCTCTGAAAAAGAAGGGGGGTTTGAAGGCTTTCAAGCAGGGGAGTCCTGTTTTCTCAAACTACTGCGATTGCTGAATGAACATGGGCATTAAGGGGATTAAGAGTATGTCGTGAGCAAGGGAGCATCCCAGAAAGGAGTCACACACACGTGGGTGTCTTTCCACAATGCCAGAGCTCCCCGATAATCCAATAGAGTCACACACAGGTTACACACAGAGAGGGGAAGCTTACACGACAAAAGCAAGCAGAGCAAGCATCCCGTGCAAAGTCTCGGTCACTGGCAGAGTCCGCAGGTGGAGAGGTTGGCGCCGGTGTCGAGCCAAGTGGCTGCAGTGGCAGGAGGCACCCGGTAGAGTGGAAGCCTCATGGGGCATCACCCCGTGGTACAGCCAGGCTCAAGCATCGAGCGGCCTGAGCTGAGTTCCTATAGTCCGCAGCGGGTGGCAGTCCCACTCATATCAGTGTCCAGATGGAGTCCTTATCTGAGTGTCCAGACTTGTGGTTTGGGCGCTCTGGGCTTCATGCTATTGGACATAACTGTCGTGGCTGGCAGTGACTCCATATTGGTCAAAAGGTGTCCAAAAAGTCTATTCGGCCCTTGCTCTATACAGAGTAGATGCCAGGAGGCCAGTGTGGTAGAGGAATCGGAAATGGCCCTCTTTCCAAAAGGTTCACAAGGCGCCGCCCACCCACCCTGACTCATGTGCATCTTCCTGAAGGGAAGGGAACCCAGGAGGGGAAGACAGAAGGTAGGCTTGGGACCTGGGGCATGTCTCCACCCGCCTGGCCCACCAGTGGCTGTCCTTTCTTGTCAACACTTGCTGAGCTTTTCAACTCCACATGCAGCAGCTCAGACACAGCGTGGAGCAGGGTGTGCTTGGGCCTCACGCACCGCTCCCTAATCAAGGACAGCTGTGCTGAGCCGCAGCCCAAGCGCCCACCTCCCGCACGGCCGTGCCATTGGTTCCTGCCCCGCCACCCAAGAGGAAGGTGTGGGAAGCCAGAGCTGAAGACAGAATGCTAGGCAGCAGCTAGGGAGTCGGAGAAGGAAAGATCATTCTTCGAAGAAAACTCCTGTCAGATAATTATTCTGAATGCACAAAAGAGTTAAGAATGGATGCAAATTTCATGTAGATCTGGCAAATTATGGTACCGGTGAGCCACGTGGTGGAAAGAACAAAGGACTGAAGGAGAGCTCGCCTGTTCCCGGTTTCTCCCCCAGCTTACTGGGTGGCCTTGGATAAGACTTTTGACCTTTCTCCCTGCTTCCTCGCTCTCCAGCAAGATAATCGTACTTGTCACTTTTATCTTGCAAGGATGCTGTAAACTTCAATCTCAAAAGAAAAGTGTTCTGGCAGTTAAAAGCTTGATACAGAAGTGAGACAGTGGTATTGTGAGGACTGATTATCTGATGGCAGGGTTGAGAAGGAGCCAGGCTTTGCCTGCAGCTGTCCATAACGTCATGTGGTGCTTCTCGTTGGAAATCAGCCTTCGAGTTCTAGCAAGTCAGAGTGTCACCCAGCAGTTCCCCCCCAAACACTTTTCCGCCACTCATCCCTCACCCGCCCCTGCTCCCACAGCCCCAGATTCCTAAGACCTTTGTAATGGAGACACTGCAGAAGCATCTTCAATCAAGTTCAAAAGTAGTTTTCCCCATTCTCTGCTCAAGTCAGTTAATAAGTCCCTCAAACACAGGGGGTGGCTTCTATATTTAAGCCAGCCTTTGAGCCATGTTTAAACAGGCGAAGTCATTACCAAAAAAATAGGAAAATGAATGAGGACAGTGAATGCAGAAGATTTTTTTGCAACTTTTAAAAAATACATCTTTACTGATTTCAGAGAGAGGAAAGGAGAGGGAGAGAGAGATAGAAATATAAATGAGAGTCATTGATCAGCTGCCTCCTGCAAGCCCCCGACGGGGGATCGAGCCCGCAACCAGGGCATAGGCCTGGCCGGGAATCGAACCAAGATCTCCTGGATCCTAGGTCGATGCTCAACCACCAAGCCACATCCGGCCGGGCATGCAATTTGCATTCTCTAGAAATTATTGAAACCTGACCCCCTTGGTTAAAACAGCACCCTCTCCAGTTCACCTTAGCCATGAGCACATGCCCATTTCATTTTCTTTAGACACTTACCACGTCTAAACTTTTTTACCCATTTGTTCACTGTCTGTCTCTCCACTAAAAAGGAAAGCTCTTTAAGCTGAGAGACTGAGTTTGTCGTTTTCAACAGTGTAATCTCCAGTACCTAAAACTGTGTCTGGCACCTAGGAGGTGTAATTTGTAAACTGTCTATAATCTGTCTCCACCCACCAAACTGCAGAATCCATACGGGCAGCTACCTGGACTCTTTCGCCAGGACATCCTCAACACCTAGAACCCCAAGCACCGGAAAAGCATTTGCTGAATGAATGAATGAATGAATGAATGAATGAATGAATGAGATGAGATGAATATAGTCTGACAAGTTCGGGAAGAATTCCTGGAGGAATTCTGAGCTGGTCTTGGGAGGATTAGTAGAGTTTGGCTATCACCATTATTTTAATCTCCTTATTCCATGAGATCTGATATTAATAATAATGAGCTAATATTTACTGAGTTCTGGCTAATGTGAGGCATTATTATTGGCACTTTATGACCGTGTTTTATATTCCAGAGAATATATTTGAACTAGCTTGTAGTTCAACCTGAAATAATTTTCTGCATTAAAAAAAAATCAGTTTTGACACATACTTGTCATGGAAGTCAACCATTGTTCCAGGGATGCTCCAAACAGCTGCCGGCCAGAGGAAGCCAGAGGAAGCTGTTTAAGCAGCTGGTGAGTTAACGGAGACCACCCCAGACCTGCAGCTACCAGCAGCTGTTTGAGCAGATAGAAATCCTGCTGCCCGTAGAGTCGAGCAGATGAGATCAGAGGGAGTGAACGTGGCCACTGGTATGACCTGTGTGTGTCAGCCCTACCATGGAGGAAGTTTTTTAATCCCCAAAGTGCAACCAGCTAGATGGGAAGCCTTCCAAGTATTGTAGCAAGAGCCTCTCTGGGCTGTCCCCACAGCCAGGTACAATGAGGGCCATGCCAAATGCTGGGCTGAAGGTTGTCTCTTGTCATGGCTTCACCGTAGCCCCCATTTCCCTCACTTTCATCAGCCCCTTTCGAGGCTACAAAGCCCAGTTCCTAGATTTATAAGTATTGGAGCTGAAAAGAACCATAGAGATTAGTTAGATCGAGCCCCTCATTCCAGGGATGAGCCCTTTATTTGATGGAGCCCAGAGGGACACTGAGCGTCTTGCCCTAGGCCACACAGCTAGCTGATGGTGGCTAGAGTCTCTTAACCGCATGGCCAGTGCACTTGTATCACTTTTGTTCTAAACAGGTGTTTGCTGCATTATTATTAACAGTTCTATTGTTTTCATCTTTTTAAAAACAGCAGTAAGTAGTATGTTATTAATTAACAGTACTGTTATGAATGATATTATCATCCATCAAACAATTCTATGTCAGGCTTAGGGCTAAGGGTTTTATTTCACATGAACACTCTTATCATAATGTTTTTATTTATTCAGAATGATGGAAGTTCCAGGTTGAAAGGAATATCTACTGAGAGTAGAAATTAAAATTTTTCTATGATTTAAGATGTAATTTATTACTCTCAGCACAAAAAGACAAATTACACACGGTTAAGTTTTTCTTGGGAGGTAGTGCATTCAGTAGAAAATCCTTAGGCTTTGGAAACATACTGCTTGTGTTCTAATCTAGATTCTAGATTCCACTGTCTTCTAAATGTGTGACCGCAGGCAAGTTGCTTAACCTCTCTGAATTTATGGTTCCTTATCTTTAAGTCGGGGTTAACACAACTAATCTATATGCTGTGTGTCGTGTTACTCTGCCACCCTGGCCACAATAACTTGGGCCCAACATGGCCCATGCGATCCTCTGTAGAATGCCAGCCACCTGAAAGTTAGCCTGGTGAGAATGGCCACGGGAACCTCCTGATTAAATAGTGACTAACCCATCGGAGCCTCCGGCAGGGCATTTGAATATATGAGGTACTTTGAGAGGACAGAGCGCGAGCATCCAGAGCTTAGAGGCAGAGAGAAGGAGCCACAGGAGCCATTCATACACAGAAACACCGTGGCACAGGCGGGAAGAGAGGGACGAATATTGGTCATCTGGTAGCAGCACTAAAGATACATAGTTCAAGGGTTACAGAGGCCTTCACAGAGAGAGAGCAGTAATCAAGA